AGATCCCTGCAGAGTAGGAAATCAAGCAACCTCACAGAGCAGCGCCCACCAGCAACTGCTACAAGTATCAGCAGCTTAAAGACCGTGACTCATCATTAATGCTAGTGTATAAGGGGCTTAAAGAGTGTGACTGGCTCTCCTAGGCCTCTCTAGGGAAGCAGAAAAGACAGGTCACTGATATGTTAAGTTTTTGTCTTGTAAACAAAGCAACAGTAAGCTCTAAATACCTTCACTCTAAGAAAATCTTCAAGCAGGACTAAATAAATGACGCATCGTCACGAGTTTCACCAGCACTGCGGTGGACATCGCAAGGTCAGCGCCACACACACACGTGGTGTTTTGGTAAAATGGCCTCTTCCGCACGGAGCTGAGAGGAGCTAGGACAGCCCCGGCCTCCGTGGCAGCGGCTCTCTAACTGCACTTCCCTGGCTCCCAGGCTGTCAGAGGCGAGGAGGCACAGAGCTCATAACACTTCAGACCTACTTCCCTAGAAAAATTAAGGCAAAACCAAGGTCACTGGTCGTGTGGGAAACGGAAGGACACAGGGCCCCTCCACCGAGCAAAGGCTACTACGTACAACCACAGGCCCAATGAGACAGCCCGCGGGCCTGGCCTGCCGTCCACACCAGAACCACCGCCTCACCTGCAATGAAGTCCTCGTATTCCATGACCGGGATGTTTTTATTGAGACTTTCAAGATCAAAGAAGTCGGACCAGGGAATCCGGACCTGGTGAATGTCGGGGCTCTGCCAGTGGTAGAGGCGGCCCCAGGGGGGCAGCACCATCACCCACTCCTCAGACTTCATCAGGATCTTCAGGAGGGAGGCCATGCGAATGTAGACATCCCTGCGGAGGTTGAAACCCTCCGGAGGGTTGACATCATACAGAAGATACCTGGCAGGGGGGAGCAGGACAGCGGTACTTCAGTGTGGAGGGCTCTGGACAGAAAACCGGGAGGCACCCGAGAGCCACAGGTGATCACCCACCCTGATGCGTTCAATAGCTTCTAGTCTGTGAGGTGGAGCCAGCGGCCCACCCACTTCCATCTGACTGTCTGACCGAAGACTTACAGAGCCCGCACGTCGGAGCACCATGTGCTTAACAACTGGCAATGACTGACAACTAAGCCGGCCGCCTCAGTGACCAGAACCCGAGAATCAGTCCTCCCGTGGTTTTCAAACTTTTTAGCCTCCGGCCCCTTTTACACTCTCGGTAATTACCGCGGACCCCAGAAGGCTGTTGTTTATGTGGGTTGAATCTATAAATAATTCCTGCATTAAAAGTGAATGCAAGAACGTTAAAAAGCATGCATCAATTCACTTCAAAGTAATACATCCAATACATATTATTAACCTTTTCCAATAAAAAGTAAGTATATATTTTTTCAAAACAAAAATAATTGGTGAGAAGAGTGGCAATGTTTGTAAATTTTTCCATCTGCTGCTGCATTCAATGTGTTATGATATCACAGGTGGTCTGGGGCGGGGTTGGGGGAGGGAGACACACACGAGGTAAACCAGTGGGAGAAAGAGAGTGAAAAGGCAAATACCCCCACTCCGGTATTACTACAGAAATGGTATGGCCAGGGGTCCCTGGACACACTCTGAGAACCGCTACCCCCTCCAAAGCGACCCCATCTGCTACGAAGGCCCGGCCCGGGCCCTGCGCGTCTACGGCAACAGTTCCCCATCCTCATCCCCCTTCTCCACGTTGTGTTCCCACAGTCCCGTTACTACAGACGGACTGTGCGTCGCCCAGGGCTTGGCCCATCTGCCACCTCTGTGCCTCTCACCCCGCACAGGTCTACTTGGTTCGAAGATGACCCGCACGGACCCTCATTTCTCAGGCCCGAGACGTGAACATCAGCATCTGGATGGAGACTGAAGGCCCCGCGCACATAAACAAAGCTGCGCTTCCTAGAACCGTCCCGTTCGAACCTCCGAGTCTGGGGCTCCAGGAAACTCGGGCAGGAACCCGCATCAGCTCACAGGTCCCGAGCCTGCCCTCCACGCTGAGCACAGCCAGCCCTCCAGGTGTCTCCGGGGTCCGATCCGCCTCGGGCCAC